GGTATCGTGCACTCAGCACGAGCCTACTCGCGTAAAGAGCGGAGCATGGGATGATGAGGGAATTTTCCTCTATACAACTACTAACTCTTGCTCCAAGTAAAAACTAGTGTATTTTTTTTCTTAATTTACTGTGGTATAATACAATTGCAAGGCTCTACTTTATATTTGGTTGAGAAAGTACTGAATAAGCATCTTATATTTCTTCCTCTACAGGTACTGTGCACTCAGCAAGAGTCTACTCGCGTAAAGAGCGGGGCATGGGATGATGAGGGAATCTTCCTTTATACAACCAGCAATCACATTAAGTGGGATATTTTTCTTCTTCATTTCTACATTGTACGTCAATAGATCGTTCCAGATATGCGCTAACTGCTGGAGATTGTGGAATCGTTCGCACTCTCGATTTACCTTTATATATTCTTGCAGTGCGTGGAACTATTTTGTACTGTTTGAACAGGTAGGTTTACACATTCTCCAGTGCATATTTTTGACCTATCGTTTTTCTCAGAGAAGCTACGCCCGTGGAAGTGCCTATCGACCCTACCGAATATCGCTTCAAACTAGCGCTAATAAATAGGCGTATCGACGAGGCAAGAAATCCTAAGATTCTTTCTATTTTAAAAAACGTGTTACATCATTTGCCAGGTGCTGAACATGGTGAAAAGTTCGACGCTTGTTGGGCAATCTATCATCAGTTATCTGGAGAAGAAAGGCTATCCCGAGATCGCCTTACATTTCGTGAAAGATGAACGTACCAGATTCGGCCTTGCTTTGGAGTGCGGAAACCTTGATGTAGCTCTGGAAGCTGCAAAGGTGTGATAGTTCTTACAAAATTTACATTGTTCCTTTGTGGTTCAAACATGCACCTCACGCTGCTAAATTTGCAGCTATCACTTATTGTAGATTTGTGACGACAAAGCCATATGGGAAGCTCTTGGTGAAGCTGCGCTGATTCAAGGAAACCATCAGGTTGTTGAAATGGCATATCAACGAACGAAGAACTTTGAGAAGTGCGCAAAACTGATTAGTTTGCTTGATTTTGATCCTCAAAATCAAATTCAGGCTTTCCTTTCTGTATTTGGTAACGGGCAATATGGAGAAACTTTCTAAGATGATGAAGATTGCACAAATGAGGAATGATGCTCATGGTCATTACCAGACTGCATTGTACCTAGGAGATATTGAAGAAAGAATTAAAGGTTATGCAGAACATAAGATATTATCAGTCTGTTATGGATAATCATAATTTTAGTGCTAAAGGGTGTTGGCCAAACTTCGTTAGCATATTTAACAGCTGCCACTCATGGATATGAAGAAGAAGCAACTGCCCTCAAATCCGAACTTGAATCTAAGGGACAGCCCATTCCACCTGTTGATCCCAATGCAAAACTGTTGATACCTCCTCCTCCAGTCTGCAAGGTATGCGATGTCTTTCAATGATAACATATTCAATACTGACATAGCTTGAGCTCACTTGGAAAACCGTCAATTATTTTTCTAGCTGGAGGAAAATTGGCCTTTGTTATCCACCGCTCGTGGTCCGTTCGAGCTTCTCGGTCTTGTTCCCCCCAACAAAGCCTCTGGAGCAGGTGTTTCTCAAAAGCCCGCCGCTGCTGCATTCGCTGTGGCAGACGATGAGGTACCGAAAATCAGCGCATGCTGTTCACTTGCTATTTCTAAGATGCTCATTTTTTTAGATGGAAGAAGGAGGTGCTTGGGGAGAAGAAGGCGATTATCTCGTTGGTGAAGATGGAGAAATTGAAGTAAGTGGCAAGCAGTCTATCTGACCGGATTTGATTAGTATGCCTTTTCATATGAATGTTACTTCAGAGTCGAAAACACACGATTTTATTCTCCACTCCTAGTATTTTCTATATATCTTGATTACTTTCACAGCCGTCTCCTAAAAACTCTTTGTTTGATTCTTACGCTTCGTCATATATTCCATTTTCCATACAAGGTTAAGATATGATCACTGCACATATCTGAACAGCAATCTCAAAGAATGACTATATTAGTTCTTTTGCTTCTCAACCTTTGCTTAAGGCGAGTGGGATCTTTTAAGGAAGTTTGTTCACTTCAGGTTGATGAAGATGATATCCTCGCAGGAACTGCTGATGATGGGGAAGCTGGTTGGGAC